AAGGTAACTCAGGAAATAAGGTCATAGTGAATGGCTCAGGATCAGCTGGTGACACGGTAAGATTTGACGGCCTTGCAGAAGTGGGTTTTTTTAATGCCTTGGTAGTTCACAGCGGATTACATCTGGGTGAGCATCCAGCGAAAGCCATAAAATTGCTTCTGAGAGCTGGGACTGAAAGCGACAGGCCAGCGAGCAGCAGCACGTTTGTCCTCTGGCATGCCTACCTGAGTAAGGCTGCGGCCCCTGGGGTGTCCAAGCCACTGTGGGGTGGGGGGGTTGCAGGATCGGAGCCGAGTTTAGTATGCACAGCGTTTTTCTTCCTTCTCGGGTGGTAAACCCTCTTAGCAGGAGTGCAGTGCTGCAGCCAAGAAGGGTGGGGGCGGGGGGGGAGGGGGGGTGATACTATTTGCACACAGTCCATCTACTGACCTCCCCGTGGTGCCGTGTCAGGCGATCTCCAGATCAGAACTGTACAAATATCCGGTCTGTTAGTGCTAACCCCACAGACTCCAAGGCGGCGCCAACGGATCCAAAACTGATATTTATCGACATTTCCCAAGAAGAATCTTTTGCTGAGTCGTTTTTCTCCTTATTCACAGCTTTTCGACACACGAGAACACATTAATACTGATGTCCGGTTGAGCAGTCTCTGGGAGGGAGTGATAGTCCTGGGGTCCGACCCCTGTGGTCAGTGGGGGTGAGACAAGCCTCCCTTCTTCTCACAAGGATGCGACTCTGACCATAAATCACCAGGCCATATAATAAGCGGGGGGGGGGGAACAGGGAGCGTCCTGTCTGGTCACAGATACACATGTCAGTTTGTGGATTGGTTGAGGGGGCGTGGGGGGGTCAGACAGGGAACATTAGGAGGAATTCATCAATGAGCCAAGATGCCAAATGGTATGCTTTTCCATTTCCCCCTTAATACAGTTTGAAAATAAAAACTAGCTGGGTCATGTTTGACCCGGGGGGGGCGGGGGGGGGGCAGCATTGCGGCGCCTGTAGCCGAAGGTGTGTTTCTAGATGCTGTGTCTTCCTGCATGAAAAGACAGATTTTGGGGGGGGGGTGGAGGATTAGTTGCATTATGGCCTACCCATCCCTATCCCCAACCAGGTTAATGTTGGGGAGGGGGGCAGTTTTTACCGTGAGCCCAAGAATTCATACCGGTCATATTTTATATACATACTTTGTATATTTGTACGTTTTTTCAGCAAATTGAGGGCTGAAACCGATACAGGAGGTTGTGTTGAAAGTGACATGTCTATTCATCCATCTTATCCTGGACAGGATCGCGGAGGGTATATCCTACTGAGCAAAGGGAGAAAGAAGAACACCTCAATGTACAGGAAAAGCACACACACACTACAGCAGGGGGTGTGTACAGGGGCGGGGCCTCAGAGGCGCTGGCCCCATCTGAAAACTGTTTGGTCCCCAGAGTGCCCCTCGCCTGTCACTCACTGATTCAAAATATGTCATTGGCTAATATGAGCCTTCAGGACTGAGCCACTGTGCTGCAAACTCGCACGCTGCTAAGACTATACCTCTAAGACTATACCTGGTATACCTCTATTCTGTTACCTATGGTCTGAGGATTGATTGTTTAATGGCATCTCTGCTGCCTGCCAGGATTTGTCACCATGTAACCGCAGTACTGAATTTAAATGCAGAGTGTAAGAGCGTTCAGCGTATTAATTACTCTAAAATCCCTTTATACCATTTCCTAGGATTTACTTGCTCACTGTGCGCACATCACATGACCGAATGGTATGTGTTACTTTGTTTCTGTGTCTGGAGCATTTAAAGGCACAGTCTAGTGGCCCCGCCCTCCTGGTGACTCCGTGCTTCAGTCATTGTGCTGACGATGGCGGGGGACTCAACACAAATGTGACTTAATATTCAGGTATGTGGGAGTCTGTTGGAATAAAGGCCTCTGGCGGACTAAGTTAATGTGGATTTTAAAATAACAGCTGGGAAGTGGTGACCCCCCCCCCCCACCCCTTCCAAATGCACTGAGACCCCTCAGCTTAGAGGGCAGGTTGGTCTTCGATGGACGGGGTGATCCCATGAGGCCCTGTTCCTGTCAATCATGAATGCAGGAACGGCGGGTAACATGGGAGGTGTCATTCTGGGGGGGGGGAGGGGGGCATCCTGACCAAAACAACAGCAAACCCATGGTGGTGTGTGACCGACACAGATTGCCCGTCAATCTATCTGATTGCCTTGTGCAGAGCGCACAAGGCAGGTGGGCACCCTGAACAGGATGCCAGGCCATCACAGGGCATGCGGTAGACAGTTAAGGGTCACCATGTCACATTGCATGTCTTTGGTCTGCAGAAACATACTGAAGGCTCTGGAAGAAACTTGCATAACATGGAGAGAACATGCAAACTTCACATGGAGAGAGGAGGCAGGATTTGAGACGCCAGCCCTTGAAGTGTAAGGCCCCAGAGCTGCCCTCTGACCACCATGCTGCCCCAGAATGTCAACTGCTCTCCCATTCTTTCCAAATGAATAAGGGCTGCTGCACCATCTGACTGTAAAACCTCCAGCCGCCCTTCACGAGGTCGCCGGCCGCCTTAATAGGGCAGCTCACCAGGCTCTGCATCTCCCCAGGTCGATTTCCTTACCATCAGTCAGGGTACGAAAATCTACTACGACACCCATTTCAAAAATAACTCCCTGTATGTTCTGGGCAAGTTGGTGTGTCACCCTCAAGGGCAAGCTGTTCTGGAATCAGTGCCAGGAATGGGCAGGAAAGTTACAGAAATGGGTCAGACCTAAGGTTCCTTCAGGATGAACTGCAGATTCACCGGATGGATAAAGAGAGTTTGTTCTGTGACCCTGCCCAAGATACACAGTCAGAAGTTAGATGGATGGATGGATTCAGTAGTTTTACCAGGGTAACCTGTCTGAAAAAAAGAAATTAGGTATAACAAATAAAAATACTAAGCTATACAGTGCGTGGCAATGGCTCTTGCATAGCACTGTTGCCCAACATCCCCAGGGTTGCAGGTTCAAATTTGGCTTCTGCTCCTTGTATATGTGGAATTTGCATGTTCTTTCCATTTCATGCTATATTCTTCCCACAGTCAATAGACATACTGCTGAACTGACTGTTGTCCCTACATTTTACGAGTGTGCATGTCTACTGGCTCTTTTCGTACCCGTGCTGACCTGACCTGACCTATACCAGCGGGGCTGAAAGAGTGACTCACGGAAGCTGGACGTGTCACCATCATCTGATTGGTCGAAATGCATGGAGACAAGACAAACCTGGTGATTTGCGTCACTATGCATTATCTGAAGGAAACAAGGGCATAGGGTGTTCTATATATTATTCATTGGACATTGCGATGTATCAATGCATCCCCGATAACTCAGAACCTGAACATTTCCAACCTCCAAATAAAAGAAGTACAACACCACAGGCGAACAAAATGGATTTGTAATGCAAATTTCTGCAAGTCGATTCTAATTCTGCTAGCATTTGATGCCAACATAACACGGTGATTCTCACAGACATGCAAGCCAAAATTAGCATTTAGTAAACCACCGTTGCGATGTACACCGTTTGAACAGTAAATAAGCATGTCTTTGGTTTTACGTCATTGTCGCTCTCCAGACCCGAGCAACACCCTTACCGAGCTGACCCTACTGCAGTGGAAAATCAAAGCGGGCTGGAACTGCACTGTAACTAGTGTCTCTTCGCAATATGAATCGAATATTGTCTGGTTCAGGTATGCCAGTGGAAAACACTACAATGTCCTACAATGGACTGGCATCCCGTCTAGGGTGTCCCATCCCATCTAGGGTGTCTCATCCCATTTAGAGTGTCCCATCCCATCTAGGGTGTCCCATCCCGTCTAGGGTGTCCCATCCCGTCTAGGGTGTACCCCAGCCTTGTGCCCTGTGCTGCCTTGGATAGGCTTCAGGCACCTGCTACCATGATTGCATTCAAAAGTAGCTGAAAGATGGATGGATAATTTGAAATGCAAATAATTATTAACTTCTAAAAGCTGTGGTGCATTTGCTTTTTGATACACGATAGACTGGCAGTGTTTTTTCATGTGATTATGGGAATATTTCTTTGAACTTTCCTGGACGTGGCCTCCATTATTTGCTGAGAGTTGAGTACATCATCTTCAGCATGTGAAATGTAAGTATGTATCGTAAGTCTGCATCTTAATGGCTTTTTCCGAATGCGGCGGCATTCGGCAGTAATTAATTCAAACGCGAAGTGCCTTGTAGCAGAATACCGGCTCTCGCAGTATCATCTTCTTTCATTAGAAAAACAAAATATGAATGGGGGGGGGGGGGGGGGGGGATGCTGGAAAGACCAGAACTGGATCTCACTCTGTCGTCATTCTGAGATTAGTGCTAAGTGAAATCATCAGAGAAACAGCCGGTTGTGGGGGGGAGATGAAGTAGGTGCACTGTGTACCGACTGACTAAATGGGTCAGGGGATTAGCGACGGGCTTCAGACACATGACAGTGTGCCTGGATGAGGACCCTGACTGGGTGCAAACCTGGCTTTCTGTGCTGAGATCAGGGGTGCAGCAGGGCCAAGGATACCCTGGCTGATTCACTGGGCCCAGCACTTTACTGGGGGCCTTGGATACGTAATATTACGAAATGGTATAATATC